TAATTTCAATTTTCTGAAGATCATTTGGGGAGATATACTTTAGAATATGTAAGCGAATTTAGGTTTTTGGGGAGATATACTTCAGAATATGTAAGTGAATTTAGGTTTTGCTGGCAAATTCAATACTATAAAATAAGCTATTTTGATAGCTATTGATCTATGACACTATAAAAACAGAATGAATCTTAGAACAAAAGGAGAAAAGGTAGATCGGGGAAATTCAGTGAAGCACTTGTGTATCTAAAGGAAAGAAGTTGTTCAAACATGACAGATTCCTGGCCCATCGTTATCAATTTTCTTTTCCCAGAGGGAGTATCTCAAATGAACTGCAGCGTTCTTCACAGTGAGTGTAGATAACCTGAAGCCCACTACAACTCACTACTCATGGTTTTGCCTCCTTGATGGCCACAATACGTGTGTGGCAATCTCATCTCCAGAATTTGGTTAGATAGATAAAGCATTGATCTTTCAACTGAAAAATAGAAAACAAAACACCTTCCCCCAAAATAACATATCTATATAAAGCATTTGAAAACAAAGGAACAAAGAAAAAAAGGAGCACACGCTCCAAGCAACTAAAAATAATTTTGTATGTAATACTGAACAGACATAAGGTAATTAATCTATGGAGGCCAAATGTAAACTGAAAGCTGAGAGGTAAACAAATCATTAAGACAGCTATCTGTTGAAATGGTATTGATTTCAGTCTTCATTGTCAAGACTCCTCACTGGAATGGGGGCACAAATTGTGGGATTCTGTGCATGGATCCAAGGAGATCCTGCAAAGCGCTAGACCCTGGAGAACTGTTTAAAGATGACAAAAATTAAGTATGCTGCACAAAAGGGATCAGTGAAAAGGTTTTGTATTTCTTGCCTTGAGCCCGCCCCCAAATTTTTTTAAAGAAAATTTGAGCCCTAAGTCTGCAATTAGGTTTTCAGTCCGAGTTCATCACATAGGAGTACAATAAAACAAAAAATAATACAAAACTATCATTGCAATGCAAGCCTCAAAATATTTCCATAAATGTTCCCATAAATGGAATTTCAACAAAGATAAGCTTACATACAAATAAATGCACAAACAACAAAATGAAGGAAAACAAACAAATAAACAAAAAAAACAAGGAGCCAGCAGAAATGAAAGTCAACAAAAGCAAATTCTCAAGAGTTATCAAGTAACAATATCTTTTTAAAATAATTATTCGTAAACATCAAAAGAAGAGACAAAATTCAACTAAATGTTGTATGAAAATAAATCGCAATAGACCCTCTGGGGATTAAAAAATACATACATTTTTAAACTGAACACAGAAAAACAAAACAATCACTAAGAATAACAAATTACTGGACTAGAGTATGGATTCAAAATTGATAGGAAATTAAATACAGAAAGAGGAAAGATTCAACCCATGGGAAAGAGTTTATAAAATAAAGTGGCAAAAGAGACTTTTAATATGCTTTTAGAAAGAATTTAAGGAGAATGATGTTAATATTATAATAGAAATGATATTTTTCTAAAACTCACAGAAGATAAACTGTACATTCAGAGAAACCAACACAACCTTATAATTTTGTATATATAGAAGACACTGTAGAACACAAAGAAAAAATAACTTTGAAAAAATTAGTATTTCTTAGCTGGCAGTTTTCCCTAAGTGTCTTATATATTCAAAACAATTCACATCAAAACTGCTCGGACTATATTCAAGAAATTAAAAGATAATATTCTAAAACTTATAAAAATATGCAATGTACCTGCATGAGACAGAAATATTTTGAAAAAATAAGATGGAAAGAATAACCAGAATTTAAGGTATGAGTGAATTTTTTTGTACCTAAATTAAATAATTTTAAATGGAAGTTACAAGTTATTTTGTGCCTAACGCATGTTTGCTGGGACTTAGTAAACCTTAATATGATAGTGTTCATCAGTTGTGTTGTCTGAATGGTCAATATATCAAATGTATATATACAGGCACACACACATATATTGATAAACAAAAAGATGTTCGACATTAGTTTATCAGTGAGTTACAAATGAAAACAAAACAAATACTTCTATTCACTGACTAGAATGGCTTAATTTAAAAAGATCGCTAGTATTAAGCCTTAGTGAGGATGCTGAATTCTTGGGAACACTCCCATATTGCAGTTGGTAAAATAAAATGTGAATTTTGGAAAATTTGTTTGGCTTTTCCTTTGAAAAGCCAACACATACTTCTTATATGATTCAATTATTCTACCTCTAGGTATTTACCAAGAAAAAGAAGGTACATGTTTACAAAAAAATGTGTACACAAATGTTTACAGCAACTCTTCATAGATGCACAAACTAAAAGCATAAATGTCTATTCTTGTACGAATGGATAAACAACTTGGTTTACAGGCATGACGTGAAATACATTTTGGTAATACGAACGAGTAAACCAAAAGCTGTATTTAGAAAAAGAAACGAAAGCATAACCGAATCAATCCAAACGAGTGGAAGACGGAAATGAAGAAAAAAGGAAAGCAGCCAGTAGGCACAGGTACTGCAAACAGTACCATTTAAAGGTAATCATAACAAGTATAAATGGATGTGATCTTCAACTAAATACAGAAATTATCAAATAGACACAACATAATCACCTTTGTGTTTTTCTGCTTCCAGGGAGCACCTAAACTATGAAGGTATACTTTGAACATCATAAGGTGTAAATTTCTATAATCAGCGAGCACTATTCAAAAGGATACTGTTTTCACAATTGCTTTTTTTCTTCTTTTCTCTGCCCTGTTGATTGAACTCAAGGCCTAGTGCATGTTAGGCAAGCACACAACTATTAAACTATCTCCCCACTTGGGGATTACAATTTTAATATCACAAAATCATCTCTAAGGCAAAAAAAAAATCAACAGAGATAAATAGGATTAGCCCAAACAATAAAAAGTTCAATTTACCCAGAACATAAAGTAACCTTTTAATTTGTAGGGCATGAACAATTAGTTTAAAATACACATCAAAAATTAGTTTTATAATGAAAATTTGATTATTTCGCCAACATAATCAGAGTTTTTATGAATCATACCTTGTTCAGAAATTAGAGACAACACAAATCATTAACATTTTGTCCATCAGCATGGACCAGTTTAAATGGATATTCATGTAACATCAAAACTTTTAGTCATACATAGAAGCATTTAAAATTATGCCCTTCCTATATCATAAATCAACTGACATTTCAGTCTTTCAGTGATACAGATCAATCATCTCATCAGAATGCAATAACAGCACAACACCAAAAATCAAAGAATAAAGGCAACTCATAACCAGGCAGGGTGGTGCATGTTGATAATCCCACCACTCAGGAGGCTGAGGCAGAAGAATTGTCAGGAATGGGAGGCCAGCCTGGGCTACATAGTGATACCCTATCTCAAAGCAAACAAAACAAGCCAAAAACAAAACAACAAAAATAAATTCATAACATAAACAAGTTAGAGGAAATAGACTGGTTGTGGAAATGAAGAGATACTCATAATAAATGCTGATAACGTAACTAGGAAAAAGACTGCAAGTGTTTTGAACAGATATCCATATTTGAAAGGAAGAATGATAACAATAATAACTTCTGCATTTGACTTAATAATTGAAGATTAAAATGGATTTAAATAGAAGCAAAAATAATGGCAAGTGTAGATATTAATGAAATGAAAAAGCAATGAGTCTAGAAAATATGCTCCCTCGAAAAACAAGGAAGGATAGACAGAAAATTTCATAAATAAGGAGAGAAAGGGGTTGAAGGAGGGAGGAGTTTTGGGAAAAAAGAAGAATCAAGATATATGTACAGGTATAAATTCCCTAAGATGAATGTGGTCATATGCATATCTAAAGTGTTACCAATGAAATTAATTAAAAAAAAAAAAAGAATGTAAGGAAGAGCAGTAGAGACCATGTTTGTTTCCATTAAGTGCTGTAACAAAATCAGAAAAACACTAAGCCATATTGGAATTAAAATGTGTCACTACTTTCATCAGTAAATGATTAAACATATAAACAAAGATTATCACGCACTACCCTTTGAAAATACTCTTGAAAAGTTACATGAATGAAAAAATCTTTGTCAAGTACTGACTTGAAAAGAAATAGAAAAACCCTGAGAGTCATTAAAGGGTTAAATTTAAGTATTAATAACAAATTTTTCCAACGAAAAATAATAGCACCAAATGCTTTTATAGTCTAATTAAATCTTTAAACAAATCTTTTCAGGCAATAGAAAAAGCAAGATTATTTCCACTCAATTAATGAATTCTGTGTAATTTCATTTAAAGTTGAAATAAAACAAGAATGAACTAAGAAAAAAATTCAAGGTCTTAAGACCTTGTCTCAAGGCCAACGTTGTTATTTTATATACTTAGGAACTCAAATGTCTCACTCATTATTAAATTACTAATACTAATAATTGTTCAGTTGAAAGGGAATACTATTCCCATTTAAAACAAATTCACTTCTGTTAATATTTGATTATATCCTATGTCACCCTGCATATTTAAATGGCCAGATCTAACTTTCCTGGGGTTCATTATCCCCAGTGCAATGATGGGGAACCCAATGTAAGTTTTGTAATTTTAAACCTGAAGCCTAAAGTTTTCATGATGACAGAGTAAAGCAAAATTCCTCAGCTGGTGTGGAGGACCTCTAAAGTCTCTTCCCAATTGTCCTTTCATTCTTATTGCCCATCAACCCCTAATATAAGTTTTAATTATAGGCAAAATTTAAAATTTCCTCTTCTCCAAATATGCTTTTCTTAGTAACACTGGACAATTGCATTTAGGCTTTTCTCCCTCATCTCTTGAATGATTTTCATCACACATTTTAATGTCTACTTTCTCTGAGTCTTTTTACCACCATCTAAATTTTCTTCAAAATTTTATGAATGATTATGTAGCTCAATTGGTGCTTTCTCCTTATTGATGTATATAGGAAGTGCAGCCCTGAAATATACAAGCAAACTTCTACTCTTTACCTTTCCAAAAATGCTTAATCTTTTGGAGTCGACATATGGCTCTTTCAGTAAAAACCTGCAATGAAAAGAAAAAATAAATGTAGTCATATCTTTTTGAGTTAAATGCGTATATGAATTTATCACACACACACACACACACACACACACACACACACACACACAAATGCTTTATTGACTGTAAGTCTATTCATGGTGAAGGGTGGAATATTCCAAAACCTTGATACTTGATACTCAAAGTGATTGTCTGCTCACCTGAGATCTTCTTATAAATGTAGAATCTTTGGCCACATTTACAGCAGACTGGGTTACCATCTATATCTTAACAATATCCTAGATAATTTCTATGTAATTTTGTAAAGAACCTACAAGCTTACTTTGTTAATTTTTCCATGCCAGTGTGACATTTGTAACTGAGATACTTAAAAAATTAGAATTAACTGTGCAAGCAAAAGACATTATTGTTAGAACCAAATAATACAGTGTACACGCTGCTCTCATTTTCATAAATCTAAAATAATTATTTCAAAAGGGGAATATGATCATTCATTTATTGTAAGTTTGACACATATTTGAAAAGATGCAATAGAACCATATACTTATATTAGAAAATTGCCCAGTCACCAAAATAGCAACCTTGGAGTCACTTAGTAGTATAAGTTATATACCTAGATTCTATCATTATAGAAAACAGACAATAGAAAAATATGTACCCACTTACTTCACAGCTGCTATTTGATCCTTTACTTCTACTGAACCTAACCTTCGGTGAATTTCCTGTAAAATTTTAAGGCCCTGGAATCCACTTCCTCTGCCATCAAATCTTGCTACAATGACATTATCCATGTCGACAAGGACAGAATCCCAGTCAATATGGAACTTCTCTGTAACCAGTTGGCCTCCTGGTTCTTCATCCCTGCAAATGCCAATGCAATGGATCAAAACAAGAACAACTGACAAACTGGTACAGGCTTAAGATTTCATACTTCTTAGCAAATGTTACAGAAAGGCCTATATTGGCTTTACAACTTTTAAAAATTCTTTATAATTAGACATAAAATATCATAGTCTTTTGTAAGATTTTTAAATGAGAAGTTCTCTAAACAAAATAAAAATATGTTTTAAAACTACACAAGATAATTCAGTTTAACTCTTTTCCAAAGGGGAGAAATAACAATACATGACACATTTTGTAGACATTTCTAAAGAATAATAGTTAAGTTGATAGGTCTAATTTAGACTTCTCACGTGTATTTGAGAAGTGTCTTGTAGTTGGTTAATAAGCACTGAAGGGCCTTATGGAAAGCAATTTCAAATGTGGAAACTCAGTAAAAATTTAACAGAAATGTACAACTCTAAAGAATGTTGGACACAAAAAGAAATACTGTATTAATATCTCCTTAGGATATTTTCCCTCATATTTTAATTCACATTCAGAACTTGGGAAATAGTGAGAAAAATTCTATCTGATCAGTATAGTTGACAGAATGGAGGCAAAGACACATACGATTGAAAAATTTAAAAGCTAGATATAAATTATAAAACATGAACTTTCTCACTAAAAGGAAAAAAGGTGGAGCAATTTAAAATGTCCCGTTAAAATGCCTTACTAGAATATAGAAAGGCTTAGAATAGTAGATTCAAAATCACATATACTCTAGGTACAAAGTTAATATAGCTCAAATAGATCATGGTCCATGCAATAAATTCATAGAGTAGTAGAACACTCAATTCGGAGAAGCTTTCTATTGCCAGTGAAATGGCAGCTCAGAAATCCCTACCTCTTCAAGATACAGAAACCAGAGACTCCTGCCTTCAAGTTTATGAAGATGTTTATCTAGAAGCACAATGTACAAACTAGTCCTCGTTACGAAGCCTTCAGGTTACAAAATTTCCAAAAATAAATGACCCATGTGCAAACATAAATGATAATAGAATTTATACAGACCTCGAAAGATAGGCTAAGGAGAAAGTAGGCAATGTAGAAAATGCTTGAGCAATTAAAAGTTACTGAATGACGTCAGGGGCAGAACTATGTTCCCCTAAACTTTATATGATGAGCCCCTGACACTCAATATATCAGAACCTGATTATATTTGGAGAGGGGGCTTTTAAACAGGTAAGGAAGATAAAATGAATCTATTAGAGTGAGTCCTAATCAAATCTGGCAGCTGTCCTGGCAAGAAGTTGAAATTTGTACACATAAGAGACCTCAGAAATGCACATGTATAAAGAACTTTTACGCAAGTGGGTGGCAAGAGTGTAACCATATGCAAGACAAAGACAGGCTTCAGAGGAAACCTGAAGCCTGCTAGCACCCCGGTCTTAGATTCCATCCTCCAGAACTTTGGGGAGAAAATAAATTTCTCTAGTTTAAAATAAAATACCCAGTCAGAAGTATTTAACTAAAGGAGTCATATCCATCTAATAGAAATTCTTCTGTGGTCCAAGCATTTAAGATTAATTATCTCTTTTACTCTATACAACCAAAATTCAATTATCCTTTGGAAGACAAGGTTGTCTGTTAAGGGCTTATTATATTTGTTTTAAATAAACTATGCTTGGAAGCTACTTAACCACAACTCCCTTTCAGTCTTCCCCATTTCTAACACTTAACAATGATCTTTATGTATTCTAGATCTGCCTGTTCACGGCTTGCAACCTTAGCCTTGGAATTTCTACATTTTATTATTATTTTAAAATTTTTCTTGATCTTACCTCTTGATGAGAAAATTGGGACTTAGATACTGTACACATCCACGTGCTCTAAGCTAGAATGTTAATTGCTTCATTAAGAATGAAGTCTGTTTTATTTTCAGTCCCTCATGATATTGCTTGTCTAACACTTGAAAACAACCATAAATCACTGTGCTCCTGGAGTTTCTGGGACATGTAGGACATGGCCAGTGCTTGTTGAACTAACACTTTCTGAGAATGGAGCTTAAAATGAAAAGCCTTTAAAAGACTTGGGTTTATATAAAGATACTGTACTTTGAGCCTTGGGAATTCACTGCAAATATAATGATGAATAGAGGACAAAGACCCAAGAATAACTACACCCTTTAATACTAAACTGTAAGAGTACCAAAGTTTGAGTATTATCTTTATTCTGAAGATAGGCAAGAAAGTGAAGCTCTTAAACTCAGGTTATTTATCAGTAATAATGGCAAAATGGTAAACTGTATCCTCTGAGAATATTTTGGTAAACATTAAGTGGCATAGTATAGTTGAAAATAATGTAATATAGTGAGCAAAAATTAACTACTACATTTACAGAACATTAAATACTTTTTACTGTTTTATATTAAGCTTAGGCTAAGCATATTTCTTTACAGTTCAGAGTGAAATGGAGGGCTATATAAATGATTTCTGCTAATTGTGCAAAAATCAAACTGGTCAATATCTTAAGATAAAACATTTTTTATGTTTCATGAGTTATGTCAGAAGGACTCCACTTTCTAATTGGATTAATGGCATCAGAAGACTTACAGGACTATAAAAATTATAATCAATAGGACCTATAAAATGATTAGCAGAGTGTTAGCTTTTAAGGTAGGACTGTCCTTTCAATTCTGTCAGCACAGCTAAGGTAATGTAAACTGTTTATTTAAACTGGAAGATACTACTCTCAAATTTACGTATGATCTAATATTCATAGATATTTTGGGAGCTTTTAGCTTATCTAAAATGTGTATAAGTCAGACATTTTATGGCAGGTAAATTATTATAAAATTCAATATAAATTATTATAAAATGCACCTATAGTATAAAATCATAATTATATTGTAAATTATTTTAAAATGCAATATAAATGTGTCAAAATGACAATTAGTAAATTAATACAAATTTTTAAAAACACAAACCTTCAATCTCACTTATTCTTTTAACATAGAGACAAAAATGAAATTTATATTCTCTTCCCTAAGTCGCCATTTTTAAATCCAACCTTGTATTTCTAAGATTTTAACATTAGAATTCAAAGTGGTATCAATATACTATGTGCCAAAGAATTTGAACAGATTTCTTTATTTAGTGTGGTGTTCTTTCAGTTTTGATGATGATATAGGCCTAGTTATTTTAAGGTAAGTTTAAAAGAAGATGAATTTTGATGCTAAGCTTTGCCATTGTAACAAACTATCCAGGTAATTGCAGGGATATAATAGTGATGGATTGCATAAAATGTTAAGAAAAAAGATACTGGACTTGTTTTGTAAATAAAGCCAAGCAAATAGTATTCAGGGAGGTAAGAATAGTATGACATTTTATTGTAGGGCTGACACAGGAAATGATCTAATTATTAATTCAATCCCTATATAAAAAGTGGGTACTGCAAGTCATGCTTATATTGGTCACGCACAATCACGGGAGCTCCACTGAATTCCACTTTCTTCCCTAAGTATCTTTCTCGTTCTCTTTCTATAATACTTTGCTTTTTTCTCTATGTCTAAGAAATCTCTGGAGATCCATTAAGAACTACATTTTGACACTGGAAGCAATTAGAAAATGTAGAAACAACTCCAGAAACAACTGCCTCATCTTCAATAAAGGATCTAAACACCCTCACTGAAGGAAAGATAGCTGGAAAAACTGGGTTTCAACTCGCCAAAGATTAAAACTAGACCTATACCTCTCACCACGCACTAAACTAAAATCAAAATGGCTTCAAGATCTAAATATTAAAGCAGAAACACTAAATTGGCTGGAAGAGAGGTTAGGTAGAACTCTTGAAGACATTGGCATAAGAATAGATTTCATGAACCGAATCTCAGTTGCACATGAACCAACACAAAGAATAGACAGGTGGGATCTCTTGTTATTAAAGAGCCTCTGCACAGCAAAAGAAACCACTGTCAGGGTGTGGAGACAACCCACAACTTAGAAATAAAATTTTACCAGGTCTTCCTCAAACAAAGGCCTACTATCTAGAATATATAAAGAACTTAAAAAAACATCAGACCTTCCAAATTTAAAGATCCAACCCCAAAATGGGCATCTGAACTGAATAGACATATCTCAGACAAATACATAGAAATAGCAAATAAACATAAGAAAAAAAATGCTCAAGATCACTAGTTGAGAGATGCAAAGGAAAACAACACTGAGATTCCACCTCACCCCAGAAGGAATGGCTGCTATCATGAAGTCAACCAGTAACAAACGCTGATGGGGCTGTGGGGAAAAAAGGAACCCTTCTCCTGTGTTGGTGGGAGAGTAGTCACTGTGGAAATCAGTATGGAGTACTTCAAAGAACTAGGATTAGAGGTCCATGTGACCCAGCTATTCCCCTGCTGGATATCTTCTCAAAAGAATTAAAAGTACTATACTCCAGTGCTATATGTGCACACGTGTTCTTAGTGGCACAGCTTGTAATAGCTAAAATTTGCAAACAGCCCAGTTGTCCATCAACCGGAGACTGGATAAAGAAAATGTGTGTGTGTTTTTTAAAATAAAATGGAGTACTACCCAGCCATAAAGAACGAGAAATTAGAGACATGCTAAATGCATGCACATTGAGGTGATACTCTTAAGTGAAATAAATAGGACACTTGAAAATATTGAATAGTTTCTTTGGTATGAGAAACTGAAAATGTAAATAAGGATCAAAATATATAATAGATAATGTGAAATAAGAAGAAAAGGTGAAAAGAGGAAGGAGATGTGGGAGGAATAGGGGAAAGGAAAGAAGAAAAAGGAATAAATATGAGAAAAGGAAAAAATGGAAAAAAAGTCTTTGTAAATAGGGACGGTGGGAGGGGTTGAAGGGAGGGTGGGGAATGGGGAAAAAGTAAGAATCAATATGTATTATGTCAAAGTACAAATTCCCAAAGATGAATGTCATCATACTGTATACCTAAAATGTACCAATAAAATTAATGTACAAAAGAGGAATACATTTTGAGATTGAGTATGGGGACT